CCCCCCAATTTCTGGCTCTGCAGACCCTCAAATGCTCTTAATGGAGATAATGGCCTGTTTGTATGTTAATTTTAAGCCCACTGACAAGCAGTTAGCTTTTCTCCTGACTTCTCACGGTTCCTTTGCCCATTGAAAGCTGCTGCCATGAGCTTAGGGGATAAGGTGCAGAGAAGTAGAAAATAAAATAAAATCTGCATGATGCTAGAGAGCAAGGGGTACAGGAATTGGCTTGCTCAAAGTACAAACGGGTAATTTCTGAAAGCAAGTAGCCCTGATACCAGGGGCATGCATGATAATTACGTCCAGCACAGTACAAAATGTTAATTACGAAATTTTAAGAAATCAATGCTGTTTAGCAGCTGTGTGTGTGACCTAAATACATCTATTGCTTGATCTTTATTCATAATATGCAATTTATTGTGAGTAAAGTAATTGCTGAATGGTGGGCTGGCCCACAAGTCTCGTAGCTAAAGACTGAGGCCTGATCTATAAATCGTCTAAAATTTGTTGGCATCTGTGTTTTCTTGAATTTATACAGACAGGGAAGGTGAATAGCTGTCTGAGCTATCCCCTTTACAACTCAGCTCTCCTGCATTATTGAGAATTCATATTGCTTTTATTATTTGGTCACAAAAATGGATCTAGTGCTTGTTGGCTTTAAAACACCTACTAGCGCTGCTTTCTCTCTCCATCTTGCAAAATATAAGACAAGGCCGAAGCTTAAATTAAAATCCTCAGGTTCTTATCTCTTTCCCACAGGAAAGCAAATCTGTGTTGAAAACCGTAAAATTAAGAGGAGAGCAAGGATAGCATAATTTAGCAAAAATTCATGGCACCAGATTCTGAGCTATATGACTGGAGGGATAGGTCAGACATTAAGAAGATACTGCCTGCTAATGCAAGTTCCTTAAGGTGGTGCTCTGGAAACAAGGCAAGCAGAAAATACTGCACTGGTTCCCATTTGCTCCCTTTCCTCTGCACCTACCAGCCTTAACAATAAATTGAGTTGTCCATTTAATAACCCTTCTGCTTCTAGAAGTCCAGGGAAATCCCAGGTATTTTCCAAACATCTATTTGTGGCAGACTTTTCAGTAGTGAGCTCAAAGAAAATTAATTTCATTGGACTCTTAAATGATTTTTTTTCTTAATTCCTTATATTTGACAGGCTGTCCTTGCTGAGATTTTGTCAATGTTTCTGTCTGAAGGACAGCTATTTTTGCCTTTATAATTTATGTTAAAAATTTTGTTTAGAACTTGGGTTTTCCGTAATTTATTTTCTTTTCCTAAGGGGCAGGATAGAGTGGCAGGGTACAAGTGAGAAGTGCCTGTTACATGCTGGCATCGACAGTGTGGATAATCTTGCCATGGGAAGAGTAACTTGTGTTTCAAGCAGTGTTAGTGTGGCAGCATTTTGTTGGGACAGATGAGTCTCACTGACTTGCAGTCTTGATCCAAGAGTGGGATTTTGGGTGGTGTCCCTCTGTCACACCGAGCGTGATCCCCTACATCATCCCCTCCTTTGTGCCCCTGTGGGAAGGGCTGGTGGGAAGCACACATCTTGGCCTGTGTGGGCATCCCTTCACAGCAACCATTCCCAGCCTTCTTATAGGCTCCTGTTGGGTATTGGAAGGTCACTATAAGGTCTTGCCAGAGTCTTTTCTTCACTCTGAACAACCCCAGCTCCCTCAGCTTTCTTCATAAGAGAGGTGCTTCAGTCCTCTGATCATTTTGGTTGCCCTCATGGGGACACACTCCAATAGGTCCACATCCTGCTTGTGCTGGGGGCCCCAGAGCTGGACACAGTACTCCAGGTGAGGTCTCACCAGGGCAGAGTAGAAGGACAGGATCATCTCTCTTGATCTGCTGGCCACACTTCTTTTGATACAGCCCAGGATGCAGTTGGTCTTCTGGGCTGCAACTGCACATTGGTGGCTCATGTTCAGCTTTTGATCCACTAGTACCCCCACATGGTTTTTCCACAGGGCTGCTCTTTATCATGTCATCCCTCAGCCTGTGTTCATATCTCTAGTTGCCCAGGTGCAGGACCCTGCACTTGGCCTTATTGAACCTCATGAGGTTCACTTCTCCAGCTTGTCCAGGTCCCTCTGGATGGCATCCCACCCCTCTGGAGTATTGACTGCACCACCCAGCAATGTTACTGTCAATATTGTCGATGAAGATATTAAACAGCACTGGTCCTACCCCTGAGGGATGCTGCTTGTCACCATTTTCCATATGGACTCAGAGCCATTGACCACTACCCTCTGGATGTGACCATCCAGCCAGTTCCTTATCCACTGAACAGTCCACCTATCAAACCCATATCTCTTCAACTTAGAGAGAAGGATGTTGTGGGGGACTGTGTCAAAGGCCTTGCCAGAGTCCAGATAGATGACATCTGTAGGTCTTCCTTTGGCCCTAGTAAAGCCATGCTGGCTGTCTGACTTGCCTCCCTGTGCTTATGTGCTGTGTGCCGGTTAGCCTTTTAAAGTTGGCTTTTTCACTTACTTACCCAGGCCAGGAGATTTGAAGTGGAGTTTGTAGAACTGCCACTGGAGAAGCCTGTCATATCTTCTGACAGGGCTGGGGGCTTGTCCCTGCTGCACCACGCCACGGTAACGCTGGGAGAGCAATGGAGATGAGAAGCTGATGAAACTCATGCAGCTCTTAAGGCTGGAGCTGTGGCTAAAACCTTTTTTGTTTTAATGCTGAACCTGTACTGAAGAGTTTCCTCAGTGCTGCTGCTGGCTCTGCCGTCCTTCGGTCGCTGCCCTGGGTGCGCGGTGTTGTGATGTTGCCTGCCTCGTGTGGTGCTCCTCCTGCCCTGACGCTCTCTGGATGCTACTTCCCTGGCCCTGCCTTCATGTCTCCTAAATGCCTTGCCTCCTGCTCCTGATCCCCACACATTTCCCTGTGTTTCCTCAACACCCACATCCCTCCTCACAGGCTGGTGTTCTGAGGATTCCGATTCTGACAGCAGATCTGGCTGCCTCCACCAGCTTCAATGCTGTCTGTCCGTCTTTCCCCCCCACTTCAGTGATACAAGTATGTAGCAACTGTATTTCTGAAGTGCCCTTTTTAAAAACAAAACAAAACAAAAAAACCCCACCCCTCTAACACAATTTAATGTAATGTTTTTCTTCTCTTGCAGTCAAACAAGGTGCCAGTGGTACAGCCTTCTCATGCGGTTCACCCCCTCACCCCTCTTATCACGTACAGCGATGAGCACTTTTCCCCGGGGTCGCACCCATCTCACATCCCCTCTGATGTCAGCTCCAAACAAGGTGAGGCCATCCCTGTCCCAGCATGGTGGGGATACAGAGTGGTCCCAGTGCCCCTCGTGCTGTTGGTAGAGCTTTACTTGTAATATTTGAGACGGAGGGCTCCAGGTGTGCATGCCGTTTCAGAGACAGTAATCCTACCATGATGCCGATACCTAAGTTAGCTGTTTAAATCTTCATGCTCTTTCTAATGTGGTAATTTGGGCTTGCCTTACTCATTAAAACCTTTTAAAATCTCAATAAATAGCAGCCAGCCCTCACCACCCCCTGTGGTGCCCGAGGCTTGCAGCATGCAGATGTGGAAACAACGATCTTGTTCCTCACCTTCCCAAAACTGGGGGAAGAGTACTTCAGTAGCAGTGGTATTGCCACCTTTTCTTTCTTCCTTTTACTCAAAATTATCTTTTATGTCCTTGTATTCTGGTTGTCTGAATTTTTCCATACGTCACTTGGCATAACTGAAGCACAGCCCATAAAATACAATTTCAAGCTTGCACAGGTTAAGACTTGGTAAACATGACATTTTTTAACCTTCTGGTGCCCACTGCCTCCTGCAGGAAGCATTGTTTTAGATGCCAGAATTGTGGGTGTCAGTTTTCTCTACACTTCTAGAACTCCTTAAACAAAGAGGCATCCTGGGTCTCAGTCCAGGAGTGTCAGACCAGCCCTGCTCCAGGTCAGCTGGGGAAGTACCAACAACCTCTGGGGTGCTGAGCCCAGCCTGCACCAAGTGATCCTGCCTGGCACCCCAGCGAACCATCCTCAGTAATCCCTTGGGTGTGTTTGCGTGCTCTGGGATGCAGGAGCTGGGAGGAGATATGGTGGTTGTTGGGGTAGTGGAAGGGGAGAAGTGACCCCAGACGACACAGGTCTGAGCTGGGGTTTGGGTAAGAAGCCTGAAGAGGAGAAGCCTGTGTAGAAGATCTGGTGGCAAGGAGGGAGTGGGAGGGATCAGAGGGTTTACGAAGACTTATGCTGTAGTTGGGACGTCAGTGTGTGGGCAGCAAGTCTGTCAGTGCTGGGACTGCTCCTGGAGGGTGCCTCTCCCTGCCTCTTTCTTCACTCACATGTCCCACCACATGGCATGACATCTATTTGACAAGATCATGAAGCTCTGCTTTACCTGGGCACACATCCACATGCACAGTTTTCCCATTTATTTGGAATGGTGTCTAGCCACCATTGTTCAGGTAGAGGTATGTGTTTTTCCATTCTGACTTTCCCTGAATGCCTTGTTTTCATTTCAGCCTTGCTACGCAGATAATAACATGGGCTACATCCAGAAAATACCATGGCCTTGTGGCTCTTTGTGTTTTTTGCTATTTGTTAGTTAGTTGGCTGGGTTCTTTTTTTAGGGAGGGGGAATAGAAAAAGCACTCATCCTGGAAAGCCTGGCCTATAAACACATGTATAGCATCTTTTGCAGAGTTGGAAGAAGGAAATGGAGACCTCCTGTCCTCATTTGTCTTCTTCCTTTGCATCAGTGCCCAGTTTTAATGCTTGTTCCTTGAAATCCCAGGGGTGCCTTGTGTTAGAGAATGGGATTTCCACCTCTTGCCCAGGCTGGCTGTGACAGCTGGGGCACACCCCACTCCTGGAGTTTGTGAGCTCGAGAGGTTTTCACTTACTGCATGATGGGTTTGCTGTCCTGCACCCCAATTCTTTGCCTTCACCCCGGTGTTGTTTTTGTACTCCTCTCCTGCAGACCCAAATTGAACAACATCTGGTTTGTTGTTTCTGTTACCCATCCTCCCTTTGGCCTCTTCTTGTCCTCTCCCCTGTTCAGCCCCTGTGGTACCTCCCACAAGTCTGGAGAAGGTCTGTGCCGGGGGTCAGCGGGGGGCATCTCTGGCCCAGAGCTTGTGCCCCTCCAGTGTTCCTGAACAGCCTCTCCATCCCTTTGCTCAGTGTCTGGCAAAGATGGGGTGGATAACACAGGCTGCTGGAGACTTCTGGTTTGGGCTGTGGCGGTCTCCTTGATGTGTGTGGTCTTTCTTTCTCCCTGTCTCGGAGCCACTGGCGTTGGGAAGCAGCCCCAGTGAAGTGGCCCATGCAGTTGCTGCAAACACATTTCCCCCCCCGCCCCCCCCTCAGGTCCTCTGCCAAATGCCTCCAACCATTGTTTCTGTCCTTGCCTCCCACCGTGGGCCTGAAGAAAGGCACTGCCCTGGTACCCCAGCCCTGATGCCAGGGTGCCCCCCTTCTTCCAGAATCCCTCAACGAGTGGGCCAGCAGCAGCTTGCCTGCAGTGCTGCCTTGTGAACCCTAGACACTTGGGGATGGACACAGCCACTGCCTTCCTAAAGGCCATCACTTCTTTCTGCCCTGTTTATTTTATTTTTTTAACACTCCATGAGCAAGATTTTGCTTTGGAGGGCAGTCGCTGTGTGGCAGCTGCATATGTTCCTGCTGGGCGTTAGGGAGCTGACAGCCCCCAAAAGGGGCCATGAGGCTTGGACTAATGATAACGACTGTGCATCAGTGCAGAAAGAGCAGGGTCGTCTGTGTCGTAAGAAGTGCAGATTTTGGAGATGGAGTGGCCCAGCTCCTTGCACAGAACTTGGTCTGGCAGGGGCAAGGTCATGTTGTCGCTCCCAGGAGCATCAGCTGTCACCAGAGATGAGAGGCTGGACTTTTAAAATTTTTCTTTCTTTTTTTCTTTCTTTTTCCTTTTTTTCTTTTTTCTTTTTAAGCTGGCTGAAAGAGCATTCCCTCTTGTATAAAAACCCTAGGATATAGAAGAATGTTCCCTCTCCTGTCAGCTACCAGCTGTTTTACACCTTTGGAAAGACAGCTGGCCTTGGGTTTTGGTCCCAAGTCTGAGAATTTAGCTTTTTTGAGACAGTAACACCACCAGTATTGTTTTCTATCCTTTTCTGTGCACAATCCCAAAAGATGTTCTTCAAACCTTATAATTAAATTCAGAAGATTTAAATACAAAGTAGGAGTGGAAATAAGTGAGTAGCATCAATCTATAAACCAAGTCTCAAGGTAGCACACACTCAGTCTTGGACCTTTGGAGTGTCACCACATAAATGTTTAATGCCCTTTTAAAGCAGCTGATTTAACATGTGAAGTAGACTGAACAATTCCTTCTGCTTCAGCCTTCTCTTCCCCAAACACATTTAAATAAACCAATGTCTTTGTGGCCTCTGCAACTGTAATTCCATGTCTCCTGGGGGCACGAGGTTTAGGTAAAGAATGGAGACCGCAGACCCTTTTGGGACAAGGATTAGCTTTAATCTTGAGGTGATTCTTGCAGTTGTAGGACTCTGTGTTCTGGGGAATGAGAACTGATGGATCATTTCTGATGGGACTCTTTATTTTTCCATTAAATACTACCAATGCAAAATAGATTGACCTTGGAGCCCACAGGAGTCAACTTGATGAAGAGCTTAGTTGGAGCTGGAGTGACAATTGGAAGCCAAATGAATCATATCAAGTGTGACCATTACAGGCCTGAAAATTATTCTTAATTAACCACTGATCCTCTATGGTAGCAAGTTTCCAAAATCTGTGAATCCATAAGGGAATCTGTGAAAATGTACAAGTAGCAATTTACCTCATCTAATAGCTCTGCTGTGCTGCCTCTTTGACAATGCTTTATTTTCCTCTTGTTTCATGCTGTGTTAAAAGAGGTCCTCAGGATCTGATCAGGTTTGGTGAAGCCATTGGGAGGACAGTATTACCTAACACACTTGACAGAGATCTAAACTTGCACAGGCCCTTGCCCATCTCCTTCCATGGTATTTTCCCCAGTATTTCCCTTTGAATTGGAGTATCATGTGCAAGTTATTTATTAGTTTAAAGGTGGCATGAGCAGCCTTTTGCTTTTAACACTAACCTAGAAGGTGGTTGTTGCTTATCCAGTGCACTAATGCCATTGTAGCGTTGGCCATGTCAACTGCGAACTGTAGCTCGTGTAGTATTTTGAGGGAAAAGTCATTCACTCTTCTGTGCTCTTTAACAGGCATGTCCAGGCATCCTCCAGCTCCTGATCTCCCTACCTTCTATCCCTTGTCTCCAGGGGGGGTTGGACAGATAACACCACCTCTTGGCTGGTAAGATCTTTTAGCTTCTTTTCAGACAAAGGTGCATGTTCACACCATTCGCTGTTGTTGAATCAGTTGCAGCATTTATAAATAAAGAATGTCACTGCAGTAAGAAATTAGTATGTTGTTTTAGTTGAGAAGATCAAAAAAGGACTATCTTCGAAATGAATTGAATATAGTTTTTGAACATGTACAGAAATTGAAGTGTGTAGATTTCACTTTGAAGTCTGTATATTTCTTATGCTCAGATTTGTGGCTCTTGGCACTTGGAAAGATAGCAGAAAACAGTTCTCAAGGAATTAAATATAAATTCTTTATAAACAAAGTTGCAATTACTGAGGGGAGGTAGGAAGGAACTTTGAAGTGTGAGTGTGTGGGGGGAATCTTGAAACTACACCGAAATGGAGGACAAACTTTTGTAGTCAGCTGCTTTTTACAGTTTCTGTATGGAGAGAAACCTTTGTCATTGGGAGATTTTGTTGCACATGCTAATGCAGGCCCTCCTAGGATCTCTTTCTGCCACTCAGGGCGTCATTTGCCTTTTGGAGGAAACGTGGTATTTTCAGAGTAATCAGTTTAGTAGGTTGCTTCATGTCTGCTTGAGGTAGGTGGGTACTTGTCCTCAGTTCTGTTGGAGCAGGGAATAATGAAACTCAGCAACAATTTCAGTGCGTTGGAATCTGTATCTTGACTAGTCTGTACCCATGCAACAAGCAATGAAGATGTTTTTATTTTAAAATGTGTCTGTGGGAGGAAATGATGATCCAGATGACAACAGAGCAAGGAGAGAGCAGAAGATGGTGAAATGCTGTATTGCTGGCAGATCTGCCAGGAATTGCCACATGCCGTTTTCGAACAAATTATTACGAGATACCAGACTAAAATATGGAAGTATCTGACTCTGTTTTTTTAATTATTCCACTCTCCTCCCTGCTCCCCATTTGGTGCTGCTCAGCTGACTCCCCACCTCCACCACCATCAGGCAGTTCCTGGCATTCGTTTTCCAGATGTGGTCAATCCTTTCTTCTTAACGGTTTCTCAATGCAGAGTCTGGGGGGAGGAAATATGAAAAAGAGAAAGAAGAGGAGAGACAAGATCTGAACTTACAAGGCCTGGCAATGTGTTCAGCAGCACTCACTGACAGCAGGACATACCCAGCCATCACTTAGGCTGTACAGCTTCCAGCTGCCTTCTGAGCAGTACTGCTGTGGAGGCATCCTCCACCTTTTTTTAAATTCCCCTTCCCTTTGGGCACTGCTCACTTCCAGTAACACGTCAAAGTGTGAAACCTGTATCCTGAACTCTACAGACTAATAACCCTTTTTTTCCCCTCTCTGAAATGCTGATCTGCCAGTCAATAAGTAACCGTTTGAATAGAATTGGTGTGTGCAGTGGTCTTTCTGGGCTGGTTCAGATATTTGGACTGAAATGGTATTTGTTTACATTGCCATAGCATGACATGTCAGGGTGTTACTTGTAGTCACCATCTGAACTGTTGCTAATTGAATGTAAACAAAATGTAGTCCTGAACTAGAGTCCAAATGACAGGCTGGTGGCAAAATATTCCACGTATGTAGGAGTATAAAAGAAGTAAGAATTTCACACAAGCTTCTCTTACTGGACTGCAAAGCTTAAATTTTAAGTAGTTAAAATGGACATATGTTGCAGTGGGCTTTTAGGTTGTTGTGGGGGTTTTGGGGAGTTGTTTGTTTTTTTTTTTTATCAAATAAGCTACTTTCTTAGAAAAGCTGGCTGCTTTTACCTCATTGTAGAAAATGCAAATGGAGAGAGTCCTGAGTTTTCAAAGACTTAATGAAACTGTCCAAAAGAGCTTAATAATTCACAGTGTGTTGTTCCTGCACTATCCATAGTAGAACTATTTGGAATAAGATGCCTCTTTTCTAAGAGCTGGTTAACCAAATCTAATCCCAGTGCTTTTCAAACTAGGTGAGAGAGGGATAGGGATAGAGATAGAAGAGTTTTTTATGTGCATGCACGTGTGCTGTGGCAGAGGAAGGCTGGTTGTTTTGCTTTCCTCCCCAGTGGAAATCTTTCAGTAGTAAAGGAGAAAGTCCAAAGCATTCAAGTGTATGTTAGCATTGCATACAGGGGTACTCTTGAAAACATTGCTTATTACTCTTTGTTTGTGACTAGGACTGAGTTCCCATCAAGTGCTTTTAACTCTAGAGTAACTATTGAATACCGTATCGTATGATTGATGGGTTCCTTTCTTCTGTGACCTCAGGCAAGGTCAGCCTGTATATCCCATCTCGAGTGGATTCAGGCAGCCCTATCCATCCTCACTCTCAGTCGACCCTTCCATGTCCAGGTAGGTGTAGGAGGTGAATGACTGACTGGGGAGTAACTGCTGGCGTTAGAGGGCAAGTTGCTCTTCTGCTTGCGTCTTGGTCTGCCTTTGCTTGCTTATCAGTCAGCTAAAACTTTATGCATACATTTTTATTTAACTTATTTGTGTATATACAGTTTGCCTGGATCCCACACTGGTCTCATTCATCATTTCCTTGGCAGTCTCTGAAGTATTGCAATTAGGAGCACTGGTGAATTTTCAACAATTAATCAAGCTGTTTCATCTGAAATGAGTCGTTCATTTCTAGATACAACATACAGTGTGCATCCTTGGGTTTTGCTCATGCAAGTATGCAGCCAGGTGGATTGTCACTCTAGTCTGTGTTCTCTAGTTCTAATTTCAAAGTTGTTGGTAATTAGTCTTGAATCACTTAGGTATCACTTCATGTGGAAACTTGCTCGCAAGTAGGTATTTTGTAGCCCAAAGCCACTAATGGCAAGGGATGCCAGCACAGTGTGTTTGTACTGGTGTGTGAATCAGGCACTGTGTCTTTATGTCTAAGTACAAGCTAGCAATGCTAATTGAGACTTGGCCATGGTACACACTCCAGACCTCCTCTCCTCTGCTTTTGCACTCTAAAGACAGCTTTTGCATCCTGTGCTTGGTGTATACAAGGTTGCAATATACCATTCTTGGTTTTTTTTTGTGTGACCTGTAGAAGATATATCCCCTTGCACAGGGATTTAGGACAGGCCACATGATAAGTGGTAGGTCCTCTTGCCTCTCTTTGTGTGGGCTCCTTTGGATTATCTCTGTCTCTTCACTACTTTACAGGGGAATGATATGCATGCGCCTGTCAGGGTGATTGGAAAGAAAACCCATTTTTCTTCATAGTAAAATTATTTTATTTGGTTACAGGCCTTCGTGTTTGTTTTATTTTGATGGCATGAAGGAAGGGGGCAAGAGGACTAAGGGAATGGAGAAAGGAGAGGCTGGATGCCATTTCTTAACCAGCAGTAATTCAGCAAACCTTATGAGCATGAGCTTGCTTTTTATGTTAATGGTATTTTCCCCCAGTTCAAAACAAAGCATGTAGGTTTTCTGCTGCACTTGAGCTTACAGTGCTCAGAACCTTCAAGATCCATCTCAGCTGTCATTGAGGATGACCTGGGTTAGTAGGGTGGGCTGATTGAGTTAGTGCTAGTTTGGTTTTCTTTTCCATTTTCTGTAGGAAACTTTATTTAGGACAAAAGTCTCTGTCTTCCCTCTTCTTCCAGGATGCAGATTTTTAAAATTTATTTTTATTTTAAGCATTTGAGGGAAGGATAGCAAGTTCAGGTGAAGTGACGTTCAAGTCTCTTAGCTTAAGCACCTTGAAAAGTAAGATATTCCTTAGAGAGCCATCAGGGACTTCTTGAAAAGACTCTTCTTCTTTGATTTTATTTGTTTCTGCATGGCAGTTCCCTCCTGTGCATTGGCTGGTGGTGGATATTTTAAGAATGTTTATATCTTGGTGTGGAAGTACAGTTTTTTGTTAAGAAAAGTGCATTTTTATTGCTAGTCAGTGCAACAGTACCATTAAATGTTTCTTGTTTGCATTGCTAAAACTGTTTGCCTGAAAGGTAATAAAATAACTTCTTTACAACCAAAATATTGACTGATTTGTTTGTTGTTTGTTTGTTTTCTGAATAAATGGACTACAATGCACAAACCTTAGCCAAGTATTTTTCATACATTCTCAAAGAATTGTCTTCTGTTGCAAGCTCCGTAGCGTTTGCGTTCTTGGGGCATCCCACTGCTGTCACGTGTTTGATGCCTGTCTTCAGTGGGGCTACAGACTTCCTTTTGTTTTCTCTTCTAGGTTTTCACATCACATGATTCCTGGTCCTCCAGGCCCTCATACAACTGGAATCCCTCACCCTGCTATTGTAACACCTCAAGTAAAACAAGAACATCCGCACAACGACAGTGAGCTAATGCATGTGTGAGTCTGCCTTTATGCACTACCCCTTAATCTGTAAATGTCTGAGAATTTACTCTGTCTGAAAAGAGTCAAGGACGTGTTTGGGGTTTTTTTATTTATTTTTTAAAAAGTGCCTTTCATGACCTCTTTGAATTGTAACCCTTCTCCTTCAACTAAAACAGGAGATGTGGGCTACTGTTTGGGAAGAGTAATGAGACATGAAGCCACTTTTAATTCCAGTCCAGCACTTCTTAGCTATCGGCAGCAGTCGTATTGAGTCAGACTTAATAATGGACTTGTCTATGTGTGAATGTTCCTTGAGAGTGAACTCAAAAACGTCTGCTAGAAAATGTTTTAATTGCAACTTTTACTAGTAAAAAGCAACCTTCTTGCTTAGAACTCAGAGGCAAAAGGTCTAAGAAAGAAGTGGATGAGGAGCTATGCTCCTGCCTGTAGCAATGGTCTTCTAGGGTACTAGGGATAGCCTTTCCAAAAGAGAATTAAGACAAGTGATGAATTCAGAGCAGATTCACAAATCAAATGTTATGTGCCAGAGGCGTCACATGACATCCTCCATGAGTGTTAAATTAAAGACAATTCTCTGAAAAGGTATGAAAGTCGATGGGCGATAACCACTGAAATTCTCATTCTTAGTATTTAAATGCTACTGTAACCACAGGTTGGTAATTTTCCATTGGGTTCTTTTTTAGGCTGAAGGTAAAATGGATGCTTTTTTCCCCCCCTTTCCCTTTCCCCCACCACGTTTTAGGAAGCCTCAGCATGAACAGAGAAAAGAACAAGAGCCAAAAAGACCTCATATTAAGAAACCTCTGAATGCTTTCATGTTGTACATGAAAGAAATGAGAGCGAACGTTGTAGCAGAGTGTACTCTGAAAGAAAGCGCAGCTATCAACCAGATTCTTGGCAGAAGGGTATGTATGGGAGGGTGTGTGTGTATTCATATGTGCTGCTAATTTGTGTGTGTTTCCCTTTAGCTGTGTGTGTGATAGCTCACTTTCTGCTTGAGGTGCTAACTAATGTGCAGCTATCAAATTAGCTTTAGAAGATAAAACATGTGACTAAAAATAAAAGCAGTATCTTGATTTTCTTTTTTCAGCATTAGCAACATCATCAAATTGGTGTCTGTTCCACTTATGTTATGGTATCAGCACCTCAGGCATGAAATATCCTCCTTCACACATAGAAGGAGCATTCAGATCACCTTCTGGGTCCTCCCTTAGGCTGACATCCATCAGAGCAGGAAGGGATCATTCAAAGATCAATGCTGGATGCCAGTGGAGATGGAACTCAAAAGTTAATATAACATGGTCCAATTGTAAAGTCATATAGGTTGGGAGGGACCTGTGGAGGGTTAGTCCAACACCTGCTCAAAACAGGTCCACTTACATCAAGTTGCTCAGGGACTTACCTAGTTGAGTTTTAAATGTCTCTAAAGTCTCTCAGCCGAGTACTGATGATCCCAGTGCACATCCCAGAGCCTTGCTGAGAGCTGTTTGCTTCTGTGGCATTGTGAGCATGTTTTACTCTTTCTATTCTCTGCAAAAAAATAAATGCATGCTAACCCACAATTACCAACATGTTCACTGTCAGTGTTGTTCTTCCAAGGGAAGGCAGCAGAGGTAAATGCCCACTTTGCCCTTGACTGTCCCAGAAATGAGAAAAGGGACAAGTTTTGTATAAATCTGAGTTTGAGTAGGGATTATTCACATCCCCTTTTCTTGACCACTGAGAGAGGCAGTACTGAGAGACACTGCGTTTCTTTGAAAACCCTTTGCTTCTAAGTGGGATGTCAGTACATGACCTGAACTGCTACTTCTGTGTTACTATCTGAAGACTTCGCTCTTTGCCCCTCTCCACCGCTGCCCCAAACAGAGCAGAAATCGCTTGGTACTTGTCCTAGTTCCTGCAGCCTTTTGTCTTCTCTCTGATGTTCTTGTTGCCTCCTCTTAAAGAACATCTCAGAGCTTGCATTTTCCATTCTTCCATGCAGGTCTCTAGCATCATGCTTTCATTCTCACTCCTTCAGTAATTGATCTTAGTTGTTTAGTCCATCAACCTTGTAGTCTTGGTCTGCATGAGGGCAGTAGGTTATTTATCTCCATTTTAGTAATGAATCAAGCCTCAACCTTCAATTGCCTGCTTTTTCCACAGCTAGGACTACTCCTTTTGAGTTGCTGTTCTGTGTGGAAGTACCTCAGCTTCCACTTCTACAGTGGCACAAGCAATGCATGAGTTATCGCATATAAGTGCTTGGAGAGTAATTATTACCAAATTTTGTATTCAGTCATTCTGGTCACTATTTACTATACCCTGTGCCATTCCAGAACAGGAGCCACCTCTGTTCTCAAGAGCTGACACTTTGCATGCAGCTGGGCTCTCTGATGCCACCACATTAACATTCAGTGCCTCCCAGTTTTGGAAGGCTGAAGTGCTGTGCCCTCAGTAACACATCGAACTTGCCAAGTCAAGGCAGAGAAGTGCTTTAGTTCCTGTCTTGTGACACATTAACAAAATGACATACTAAATCATACAAATGAGATCTGATCTGAAACCCTAGTTCTTTAAGTTATTCTTGCATGAGTGTCTTAATGATTTCATGTCTGGTTTGTTGTTTTTTTTAATGTTTTTTCCCTCTGCTCTCCCATGCATGTTGTCCAAGTCAAACAAGAAGACATTGTCTAATGCTGCAGCAGTGGAACCTGATTCTAAATAAAAGGCCTTTACTCTTTTTGGTTCAGGTCTATGATAAGTGTTTTGACAAGAACAAAAATAGTAGATATTGATGTAGCTGGTGCCTTTTAAAATGTGCAGCTTGTTAGGGTTTATTTGTTTGGTTTTTTTAAAAAAAAGTACATGAAAAGAGGAAGCTTATTGCTACTTGGCTACTGAGGTCAACTCATGTAATTTAGAATACTACAGTTCTGTGGTTTTGTATCTTAGAAACTTTCTGCAGTTGCCATTTTCTTTATTATAACAGAAGTCAGAAAGCAGGTACCTTGGAGCTGAACATTTAGAGGCTGATCTTGGAAAAGGAGCCTGCTGGTGCCCAGAAAGCTTGCTGCATTGCAATCAAAAACCCATGTGTAGCTGCTGCTTAAAACCAAGACAGCAAACCCTTCTTTGGTGGGCAGCTTGCTGCCCTTTAAAAGCAGCACAAAACCTTTCTGTTTTGTCAGGAGCTGAAGGGTGGGCTTTTGTTGGGTTTTTTTGTTGGGGTTTTTGGGGTTGTTCTGTGTTATTTTGTTTTAATTTTTTTTTCAAGTAGTGTTGGAGAGCATGGTTCTGCAAGCAGATTATTTCATGAGCCCAGTGATTTTTGTCTTGCTCAAGACACTTGGCAGTTGCAGAGTTAAAAAATGCCTGAAAGTTGGTCAATAAACACAGGTGCTTGCAATTACTAATTAATGTCATTTTGGCAGTGGGGAAACACCAAATCAAAGTCATAAAAACACTTGCATATGTCATCTGTTGCCGAGGTATGAATTATTTCCTAGTCTAATGCTAAGTTTATTTTGTTTCCAGTGGCATGCTCTCTCCCGTGAAGAACAAGCAAAATATTATGAACTAGCTCGTAAAGAAAGACAGCTACACATGCAGCTTTATCCAGGCTGGTCTGCAAGAGACAACTATGTAAGTTGCTCACTTGAAGGCTTTTTTACAAAACCAACTTCTGTTACTTAACTTCTTTTCCTTTCTTCTTTTTAACATGTGAAAAATTCTGGAGGAGAGTTGTTGAAGAAGCATAAAACATAAGCCTTATATTTGTTTGCACTTCAAGCATCCAGAAAAGCTGAGATTTTTTTGTTGTCATTGAGATTATGCTTATGAAAGTCACAGTTTTTAATGCTAAAAAAATAGCAAGAAAAGTTTTTTTTTCTAAGATAATGGCCAGTACTATCTGAAAGCTTATGTTCTACTGTACAGCCGTGAATTTTCCATAATTTTCTATTAATTCACTTGCTATCCAGAAATCATCTTTATCCCTGAGTGAAAAAGGGCTGTCTCTCTTTCAAGAGAACTGAAAGCCCAGGGGTCTTGATGCAAACTGAACTTTAGCTGAAAGTAATTCAGAATGGTCCTTCTGTGGAATGAAGCCTGCGAAATTTGTATAAGAAAAGTTCATGTTGGATCCTACTTTTATACCATTTGGTGAAGCTAAGTTTTCTTACAATTACTCTTTATTTTATAATTAAATATCAAACAATTGTTAATAGCACATTGCATGGCTTGCACTGAACAATTATATTATTGTACTTAGAATGAGTTGTCAGTGTAGTCATATGTTACGTTCTGAAACTTGAAAGCTGCAATCGTGAGAGACTGATCCTAGTCTGAGATCTGGGCTCCTTTCTGTCTCCACACCAGCTGTGACATTATTTACTGTGATAGTGTACATGCTATATCTGGCTCAGTTTTCTATCTGTTTTAGGTGGACAGTAATATTTATCTACTTCAGCAATATCTTGTGGGCATGAAAAGAGTATGAGGCACTTAACTACAGTGTTAACAGAAACTGTAGAAGTACCTACTTCCAATCCAGCACAGCTACTGTTCATCTTAAATGAAATTTGCATTTCTAAGGTAGAGTCTCTTAGGGAGATCTTTGGCATGGAAGGCATTGACACAGAAACTACCTGATCCATTCTAAAGCAAATGGCTTGGTCTTGCTGCCATCCATGGCCAGTTTTGTAAGCACAGACACTGCTGTAAGCCCTAACAGCTTGTTTCTGCCTGTTTTATGCAGTCATCTTTCCTAGCAGATGAGCTGTCATGACCTCACATAGGTAGGTTTTATTTCCAGTAATCAGACTGTGTTAAGAGTGGTCTTGAAATACACCTGGGCACAAATAGAGCCTTAGTGGTATGCTCCCTGAAAACAAGGGGATTTCAAGTATCTTGAACTTACTTGCTGGAAAATTGAGCCATTTTGGAGGTTGGTAGCTCCTGCTTACTGCATGTCAGTCTTCAGGATTGTTCTGTGATGCTCAGTCATGTTGACTTCGAAAACCTGACGTGTTTTGCCACAGCCTAGTGCCACAGAGTGCAGGCAGTGGAGCTGCGATTTCTTAAATGCCTTGGTAGCCATGTGGAGTGTGTAAGGTGGCAGGTATGAATTCTCTCTTTGATGCACTTCCAACCCGCATCCTGTGTGGAAGTAGAGCTCTGACGGACTCCATTCCTGTGTGCTGCAGTGGAGGACTCTGCTGGCTTCCTCTTGCAGGCCTCCTCTCTGCCTCGCCAGGCATGCACACGTTGTTGCAGTGGTGGTGAGAAGGTGATCACAGTAGATCACAGTTTATCACTTGAAACCTCTTCAGGTAAATGGAATATTTTTTTAGTTTTGCTGTATTTTTTTCCTCTTCATTTTTTGTAGCTTGAGCAGTCAAAAAAATGAAACTGTCTTCATTTAGCACAGATATTACTGCTCTATTTTCAGAATTAGAAGTGACTTAGGGGTGCCTCTTCTGTTTCATTTTCAGAATGAAAATTTCAGAAAACAGTAACATTTTAAAATATGTGCTTCTTGGGTTTAATTCTTCGATTTTGGTTTGTCTGGTTATTCAGGATTTCAGAAATTTCAAAATAATGTTAAGCATTGCTATTCAAATGTCAACAATTTTTTTTATTGTTATTATTACTGATACCCAAAGTAGTCCTGCAAAGTTTTGTGACAGTCACAAGGAGCACAGTGTTTTCACAATGTGGTAGCATGCTCATGTGCTGGAGTTGTCAGAAACTACCTCATCTGTGAATGCTGACAATCAGTTTTCAGCCCAGCCTTTTCCTTCAGTTTTTCCACTTCAGGTGTCTCATAGGTGTATCTCAGATCAGGTTTCAGTATGTGTTAGCACTTGAAGTCAGCCTGCCATAAAGAATAAAACAATTTTCCTTGCATGATTTTCCCACACTTAACATCTGCAGCAATGCAGAAGTATTGCAGGTGTGATAAATGCACATCACTGTGAATTTCCCAGAGCCCTTGAAAGCTGCTTTCTAACTTCTAGTCTTGCTCCTGTATTTAGAAGCTTGCTCACAAGGCATTGCTCAGCCTTGTTGCCAGCCTCAGGATAAATAAGGTCAGGAGCTTAAGACTCAGGAAGGCCCACACTTTCAGAGCAGGCTGGAGAGGACTTAAATTCATCTGCTGTAGCTTCACTGCAGCTTGTATTTGAAGCCCTTGCTTGCTGTCCCATCAGTGAGCACTGCAGTGGTTTGAGGTGGTTTCTCACATCACCTGCTGTCCTTCTCACATCTCCTTGCAGAGCTACCTAATGGAACGATGTGTCCTTCCACCTCAGCCCTTCCAGTTTGTGGCCACTGTGCGTGGCATGGGCTGTGCTGGGACACATGTTGGTGGCTGCCAGCCATGCAGAGCAGGGTAACCTCTGGCTGGGGGCAGGGGGATGGACAGCAGGTTGCAGTCCCACTTCCAGCAACTGCACCAGGGTTTGCCAGAGCTAATCTGTTAGAGTCTGTCCTGGCAGCTTGAAACCTTCTTTAAAATACACATGGATATGACTTTTATTTTGTTTTAATTAAAAGAAAAAATAATCTTTGACTAACAATACAGGAGAATAAAGAGAAGTGATATGGAAGAATATCAAGGTGGTAATTAGGGTGATGCAAGACACCTGAGGTTTGAAATTGTGGGTCTAAAGTGACCTTTTGTTTCCTGAAAGAGGGTGCAAATGGGGAGCACTAGCTGTTTCCATATTTAGGGGTGTGGGAGAATGTTGAGCATGTGGGTTGGCATGATGAGCCTCTGCCAGCACGGCTGGTGCCCATGTGGTGTCCAAGACAACTGCCTGATGTCCATTTCTGTCCTGCACCTTGGTCATGTTGAGGGCGCTCTGGTGCACAGCAGTCTGCTCTTTGCTTACTACACAGCATGTTCTCCGGGCTCAGCCGTACAAGTCTTGGCTTTTGTTGAGGTACAAGTGTTATCAGAACAGCTTTAGTTGGCTGGTTTGCACCCTGGGGACAAGTCATGGTCGTCGTAGGTACTTTCAACACCCTGTCTGCTGTTGCCATGTATGACAGTGTAAGTATCTGAATGTGTGAAGGGTTCTTGTAAGAGCCATAAATTATGGTATCAACATATGTGTCATCTGATTATTAAGTGTGAGAAGTCTTTTAGCTGCTTGCAGCTGCCAGGGTTAGTTGAAAAACTGCCAGAAATTGTAATTCCGTGTGGATATAAAAATGTGTTATTGCTCATGTACATATTTCTCCACAGATGCTGAGAGCAAACCTTGTTACCATTGCAACAGTTGGAAGTGGGTTAGAAAAGGTTTTAGTTACCCCGAAAACAATTGTGTTTTTTTCCTAACGGCTTTCTCAGTGTCCAGATGGCTTTTGTTTCTATGCTATGAGATGGGGGAGTGACAAAAAACCCCACAACTCTGTGCATGTAATGGTATGGTAAAATTCCCTGTTTTTCAGGGGAAGAAAAAGAAGAGGAAGAGAGAAAAGTTGCAGGAATCAGCATCAGGTAGGTCATGACCAACTCTTACTTCCATTTACCTCAGGTATATTTAGAAAACAGGGCTTGTGCTATTTAGTTTTTACATGCTTTTCTCTAACACTTGCTTCTGACAGATGTTTTAAGATGCTTCACTTCAAATGCAAGCCTGTGAAAATGCACACAATACACATCTCCTTGCCCTTACACCTTTCTATGCAGCAGTCCTGACTGCATCAAAATCTTTGGTTGAACTTGGGCGTTGCTGCAATCTTTGTCCTGCTTTACCTTTGCTTTTCTCCTCAGTCGATGTTCTGTTGTCCTTAGATTTAACTGTGTCTCAAATACTGTGTGGAATTGACGGACACTGGAAACTTTACACTGACCTTTTTGTAGTTTGAAATTTTTATCACTGTATTTTACATGCCTGTGTACACTAACAGCTGCCTAATAGGTTGGCTAAAAGCATCAGTGAGGTCTCTTCTTTGCCTGTAAAATATATACTAAGAAACACCCTGTGTTCCCCAACAAACATGGCTGGTATAAGAACCATAAAAAAACGAACAACAAAACCAAAAACATGTTAAAAACATCCATGTGATACTGTAGCAAACAAACTTATTTGGAATGTGCAAAAACTCTGTAACAAAAATTTGTTAAAGGAAAACAATCTTCTACAGGTACAGGCCCCAGAATGACAGCTGCCTACATCTGAAGCATGGTAAGAACATCTCTAAAGCTTTCCTGATGATAAAACTGAATTGTAAAATAAACTTTCTTATAAATTTTATGCAATAATAATATGAATTTAGCAAAAATTGCAGAAGCATCATACCTCAAAGCTAATGTTACTTGATGACTGATGGTTTTTATACCGGCTATCTATTAGGTGTTCACCATTTTACTTCTTAACCTTAATATTTTCAAATTGACTGTACCTCACTGACTCGCTGCAAGTCTGCCTGTGAAGCACAGGGATGGGTTTATTAAGCAGTGCTAACCCTCCCAGCCAGCAGACTGTCACATTTTGTAAGAGCAGGTTAGATGCTGGCTTCAGAGAATACTTTATGTGCTGACATCTACAAGATGCTGGCTGGCTGGGTACACTTAAAAAATTTATTCTCCTGTATACTAACAAAACATCTGCTAAGAAAATGGGACAATATTTCAATTATATAAAGCATTTCTTCCTCAACTGTACGATGGTATGTCAAGTATGATGTGGGTTGGGGTCTTTTGTCGTTGTTTTATTTCCAGTGTGTGTTTTCTCTCTTTATACCATAACATCTGCACAGAAGGTGGAATGACTAGTGATCACAAGTACCCAGTTAACACCATCAAGTCTTCTTGTGAATGCACACGGTACCACCGCGAGATCCTGATTTCTCAGTGTTTGTGTTAGAAGGCTGGTCCTTCTCTTCCTTGTAGTGTGATATGTTTTACAGTAGGAATGGCATTCGTTTGACACAATAGTTGCTTCTGCACCATCTAATTAACCCAGACTGCTTCTTGGAGATCCCTGAGAATTTCAGGAACCAGGCAAAAAAATAACCCTTTTAAAACTCACCTATGCTTTGTAACAGAAATGGGCTCTTTATCCCTCTACCCTGTTTGGCTACATGATCCCCTTGGCACTCAGAGTGGTCAGGAAAGTGGCCTCCTGTTGGCCCTCTGCTCTGCTGGGACTTTTGGCCAGAGAAAGCCAAGTTAAGTTTGCTTTGTGCAGTGTGTCAGTTGTCAGTCAGCCAGTGTGATTCAGGCCTCTTCTGTAGCTACACCATTATCCTAGCTAGTTTGAACTTGGCTGGGTTTAAGACTTTGGTTTGTTGGTTTTTTTTAAAGCTGAAGTAAAGTGAAAATGGAAAATACGTGCTCTTCTTTTCTTCCTGCTAAGTAAAAGTTTTTCAGGCAAGCGGGCTGTCTTGCCCTTTGCAATATGCCTGAGTCATGCTGATTTTAGTTGTGGATTGCAGCATTTGGGTTCTGTAGCCGATACAACAAATGTAGCTGTGAAGTAACATTAGTTACAGTGACTGCCATATTACACTTATTTAAAAAAACAACCAAAAAAACACATTATAATTGATGTTTCAGCTTCGTTGTTGGGGTCCGTGATTGTTATGAGTATTTTCCCTTTGATGTTAACAGAGCAACAGTAAGCAAAACACAGAATTTTATCTGAATTGATGCAGAACACTTGGCTGAGATTGGAATACTATTGAAGTTCAACTGACAGTTAAAAACAGGAGAATATTTGGTTTCTTGGATGCCGTACAGTCTAAAGGTTGACTGCCTTGTCTACACTGAACTACTTCTGTTGGAGTTTCTCTGTTTCCATTTTCTATATTAGAGGATGAGTTGAAATACAAGAGGATGAATGTCCTGAGTATATAGGTGTTCTCGTTTTCCCTTTTATCTCTACACCCTTTCCTTCCCTCCCCTTAAGCTCTGTAAGAGTGTGGAAACTGTATCTCTGTCCTAGTGCAATTTATGTAATGTGTGAGAACAGTAGGTACCTTTCCTCCACTGAAAGCGGAGTGTGCTGTGGACCCCATATATGTCCATGTAGGCAGCCTCACTAAATGTTGCATGCCAAGTGAATGCTCTCCACTGGAGACACACAGATGTGCTCCAGCTCAAAGTAAATGCACAGAATGATTGAGGGAACCTGAATTAGCCAGACTTCAAAGTAAACTTCTGAAGGGTGAGACTCTTGCCCTCTGCAAGCCTAATCCAAAAAATGTTTTGCCCACAAGCATAATATCTCACCAGGCCCACAGCAGAGCTGCTGTAGTTTTTACTGGATGGAGATAATAAGTTTGGGAATGCCCTTCAGTCAGTGCTGCAAAGAGCTCTTGAAGACAGGAAAACACCAGCTTTCTTGCTTGTACGGATGGTGCAAGGAAGAGGGGGAAGGAGGGTGGGAGGTCTGGGAAGGAGACAAACGTTCTGTTATCTGAGAAGAATCAGAAATGAGTAGGTGGCAAGACCAAAGAAAGAATCTCTAGATCAGCACAAAGGAGATCAGCCAGGGCTGTAATTAGGGTGATGTAAGTGAGAAGGATGAAATGGTGGGAGGGTTGTGTGGTGGGATGTTCAGAGGAAAGTAACGGAAGAGACATGTAAACAGAAATTATTTGAGATACTGTGAAAGTTTTGGGTGTTGGGGTTTTTGTTGTTGTTGGTTTTGGTCCATGAACGCTTCAGCACATTAACTGATTTTTAAGGTGCACCTCTAAGCTGCTTTTTGGCTTGGACAACATTTGAGTGGTGAAGTCAAGGTGGTAGTGTTAAGTTGCTCCCTTCTTGGAGTTGTACACTGCAGCAGGCTTCTTATGGCTTCACTGCTTAGGATTTTGCTGAGTTCTGCTCCCTCCTCCAGGCTGCTCAATGGCCAGTTTGTAAAATGCTTTAATATTACATTGCTTTAGGAATACTATGACCTGGTGCTCCAGTCTTTGCTAAATTATCCTGGGGTACTCCAGAGCACCTTGCCATTCTTGACAAGTTGTGAAACTGTCCCCAAGTGGGATTTTATTTTCAGTTGACATAGCTCAACAGCATGTTTGAGATAATTTGTATTTGTTGAAGAAATAACTCGTATGCGTTCTCTCCTTCTGAAATCACCCAAGAGTGGCATAAGACCTGATAATGTTAAAAATGAGCTTGGGAGAGGCCAGGAGGAAGGGGAAACAGGGAAATCTTAAGATTAAGGACCAGGTAGAGATCATCTGTTGAACACTTTTCATAAAGGTGGGTGTTTTCTTGTTACTTTAAGCACAACCTTCTAGAAGACTCGTAAATGGGAGCAATTTTGTTGTGGCAGTGGAGATTCCCGATTTTGTATTCAGTTTGGCTTTTGGAAGGAAAAAAGCTCATTTTTAGCATCTCGTGAGTATTTTTAAACCAGCAAGGAAATTGAGGGGTACTAACAAAAATTCCTTCCAATTGTTCTGCAATGTGGAAATAGTTAACTTCTTATGACTCGCTATGTACAGTAATTGTACAAGACACATCATTTGACATATGTCAGGATGCAACTGGGAAGTTCTCACAAGCTACATAATTTAACATTGTGTTTTGGCATATCTTCAAGGGCTAAAAAGAGTGATAGAGAAGCTTAGTAGACATTTGAAAACCTGTGAGAAGTGTATTTGTGGCTTGCAAAATTGCATGACAATTAGCACTTAGATTAGCAAAGCTTTCAAAAAATGAGAGAAGTTGACTGATTTACAATCAGAAGCTCTTAAAAGGATCAGATGAAGACTGTTTAACTGTAAACAATGAATTATCTATAACCCTTCAAATTTCATACATGAAAATTAGAGGCACATTTCAGGGAAGAAGTGTTTTTTGGATAATGTTGCAAGAATTTGTGATTGGATTATCTTTTCCTTACTACTGAGACATAAAATGGAGTGAGGATGTGAAAGCAGACTAGAAGGTGGACCAGTCTACAGCCAGAACACTGTGGGAAAGAACTGTTTGATGACTGGGGTCATGGTTGTGACCATGGGTTTCTGGCCAGCATCCTAGAAAGGAGATAGAAAGAGGATGTGGTACTTTGCCTTCTGAGGCACATGTTTTCTAACCTGGTTTGTCCAGTGCTCTCAAAGTTGCTGCTGGAGTAGTTGAAAATGGAAGAAACACTCTGACCCTTTCCATACTCTCTGGCTGCTCAAAAGCTTTAAACAGAGGAGGATCTGTGCAGATGTTCATGTATGAGAATTTATGGTGATGGTGGTGCAGAGACTTATTATTTGCTTTAAAAATTGTTTCCTGTGTGACTCGTGTTTCTGTATTCCCTGTTTTGCGTATGTACTGTGGCCTTCAGTATAGGCAAGAGGGACAGAATGAACAAAAGAGAATTTGCTGGATTGAAACATTTCTATTTTTGAATACTTTGGTTAACTTCAGCCTGTTTCAGGTAGGCATAGAAATTTCCAGCAACAATGGCTATAGTCCTCAGACAGATCCCTTCCTGCAGCTTCATTCTGACCTGACATTGCTCTTACCAGGGTGAAAGGCAGAAAACCTCCTCTCTTGCAGGCTTTCCAACATTAAGAGAAACGTCCAAGAGCAGGGGTGAAGTGCAGCTGCTCCTGCACTGGAGGCTGGTCCCGTAGGCACTGGCAGCTGCTGCGGGAGATGTGGCAGAGCAGAGCCAGTGCAGCAGCCTAGGGAAGGGAAAGAAGGGAAGGAAGAGGAGGAAGGGAGGGAGGGAGGAAAGGAAGGAAAAGAAGGAAAGGGAGGAAGGGTTTAAAAGCTATTTTGGTTGCAGTCAGAGACTATGGGAGGAATAAGGGCAAGTCAGGGTAGGGGCCAAGCATAGGTTTTCTAATTAAAAAAACCAGCAGAACACTTTCATCTAGACAATCAGCATAGGTACAGGGGAAGGGAAACAAGAACATTTTGCAGGAATTTATGAAATGTTAGTTTCTGCATCCAAAGGGTGTAGCAAGATCAGCTATGAAGCTGACCTTCAGCATTTCGTGTTTTAAAGTAGATAATTCAGAAGATGAACATCTAGAACCTGTTTTTTTGTCAGAGATGCTTGAGCTGCAGATGGTGTTGTGAACTTACGAGGTTTGGACTCAGCCACATTTACATGTGATTTAAAAAAAAACCACAAACCTGTATTGTTTCACTTCTGAGGTGTTAGCAATAGGCAGCTTGGGCTAGAATGAAGGAACAGTGGGATGACTATTGTTCTAACTTTTC